TCTCTCTCTCTCTCTCTCTCTCTCTCTCTCTTTCTCGTCCAGACGAGAAATTAGACCCCAGCTTATTGCCAGTTCGTTCCCCACGACTACGGGTTCAACTGGCTGATAAATTTTCCACCAGATTAATTCGACACTTTTCCAAAATCATCTCTTTATAATCCTTTCAGTCGGCAATGGCCTCGGATCCGAACAGGGTGTTGAAATATCTTACTGAAAAATAAATATTAAATTCTGAGTTCAATCGAACTGTTACTATCATTGTATACAGAACTACGAAAAAGTTTTATGTGATCTTGCCTGAATATTTTAATCTGGAATTACATACGTCTTAAATTAAGGCTAAGCTTGATTATAAGACGCAATGTCCTTTGAAACAGGGCAGATTGGACCGGGTATTATAGTGTTGAAGTCTCGAGGTTTAGTTTAATTTTTATGAAAGAATTTTTAATTCCTATAGATTTGATTACAGGGTTACATCGTTTAATCGGAAGTAACGAGTATGAAAGAACTAAAGAGGCCAAGTAGAGTCAACCTACGAAGAATGTTGTTTTCTTCTCCGAAAATTGTATCTAAAGTAGTGAAAATTGTTACCACGAGAGTTTCATCGAGCAACAACTTAATAGAATCAATTTCCCAATGCTCGCAACTTGACTGCGTATTTTTCCTTTTCCGGTTTATCGGAAACTCAAAGTTAGAAAAATATATATATATATATATAAAATATGGAAAATGGAGTGCTTGTTTTAGACGCAAAAAAAAAAAAAAAAAAAAAAAAAGAAACTTAATAATATATTAACTATGATGTCATCAAGAGCGCGAAAAGTTGAATATTTCGTACGATTAATTAATTAATCTTACCAAGATGTTGTAATTGAAACTGAATTTTAAATTAACGATAGGAATCCAATTCTGATAATTAAATTTGAAATTTGATAATTTATTCTACCTGGAAATTGGATTAATTTGGCAATCGAATTAAAAATCGGTTAAATGATCGTTGGTCGTTGGGGGACGGGAGGGGGAGGCGAGGGGTGGGCAACGAATAGCAAATTGCTTCAATTGTGCACATCTCGAAACCAATAAGCTTCCTTGAGCTGATCAAGGTATGCAGAGGTTCCGTTTGGCGCTGAGAAACTGTGGGCACAAGCACCCTGATAGAACTCATTAAGGGTAGCAAACAATGCTCTGGGGAAAAGCAACCGCTTGTTAAAGAAGCTGTTTCAATTAGAATCAGTCAGAAACAGCAACGTTTCCGTCTTGTTCTTCCGTGGAACTTAAATCTCCATCAAGTGTTCCGCTACTTTGTCATCAAGGAGTGCTCTGCTATCTCGGTAGTTTTCAACAAATTTGCAGG